AATTTCGGGGGAATTCGTATCTGTGGCTGAGATATGAATTTTTAACTTGAATTCAGCTGCTTTCAAAGGGTCACTGCCTGGAGGTAGAAGTTCTGCAGCCGTGCTGGGGAGGCTGAGAACACTCACTTCATCCCAAGTGCCTGGACTGCTCTTTTTTTTTTCACTTTTTTTTCCCTTTTAACCTGATATTCTTTGTTCCAAACCCACAAGGAGCAGACGCCTCCCAGTTAAAAGTGATGTAGCTTATCAGTAGAAGTCTTTGCCACTTCACAGGATGATTCCAAACCTAACTGGGGTAAAGGCTGGAGCTTCAGCTTCTCAGAGCCAGTGCCAAGGAAATCTGTTTGGATGTTTATGCATCAGCAAGGGCAGTGTTTATTCCCATTGGAGTTTCAGCTGCTCTTTGTGATTAGAGATGCCCTGGAGAACCCTCAGCAGCAGAGCAGTGATGCAACAGCAATTCTGTGCTGCAGCCAGGGCAGCTTTCACTGGGAGCATCACTGTGTGCTTGGGAAATGTTCTCTTGATTAATTATTTTTTATTTTTCCTATTAAAATGGAAATTCACTTCTGTTAAAAGCATCTCTAATGCCTGTTCTGGCACTGAATTTTCCCTGATTATGTACAGCCAGGTGGCAGTGAGGGCACTGATGATCAGGGAATCGTGGAATGGGTTGGGTTGGAAGGAAACTTCAGGATCATCTTGTTCCAACCACCTTCCACTAGCCCAGGGTGCTCCAACCTGGCCTGGGACACTTCCAGGGATTCCAGGGGCAGCCACAGCTTCTCTGGGCAACCTGTGCCAGGGCCTGCCCACCCTCCCAGACAGCAATTCCTTCCCAATCTCCCATCTATCTCTGCCCTCTGGCAGTGGGAAGCCATTCCCTGTGTCCTGTCCCTCCATCCCTTGTCCCCAGTCCCTCTCCAGCTCTCCTGGAGCCCCTTTAGGCCCTGCCAGGGGCTCTCAGGTGTCCCTGGATCCTTCTCTTCTCCAGGGGAACCCCCCCAGCTCTCCCAGCCTGGCTCCAGAGCAGAGACCCCCCCCTTTGCCAGCCCAGATGAGGGGCTGTTGCAGCCTCTGCTGCACCTGCCAGGCTGGGAGAGAGGGTTGTGATAAATCTATTTTTGCACTCCAGGAAAATTGCTAAAAATATTTGCCTTCCCTCCTGAGCCATCAAAGCCCTGCCCTGCAGCCCCATCGAGATTCTGGGCAGGTGATGAGAAATCAGTGCAGTCGTTCACCTGCAAATGAAGATTTTGCCTGCTCTGTGGGAAGGCACATTTGGGCAAAAATAAACGTGTTTTGAGATCCTGTCGTGTGCTGTCACATGCAGGACACCTGCAGATATTGGATTGAGGCCTGTGTTGGATATACTTTAATTTTTCTCTAATTAGAATTAGAAGGGGCATTTTGGGGTGACCCCACAGGACAGGGCTCCTCTGCCATTGATGCAGACCTTCTGTATGACACTGGAATGTGGCTTGGACTCTTCAAGTCTCTGTTTCTTCTCCACAATATTGGTATAATAACACTTCTTCCTCCCACCTGGTGTGTGTAGAGAGATCCCACTGCCTGCCAGGGTGAGGTGGTGGATGGGCCACGGCCTCAGATGTCATAATGTGGTTAATTAATTAACAGTTGGGTTGTGTAAGTTTATCTGGGCAGTCACTGGGTTGCTTCCTAAGCATTTTTTTACCCTTGGAAACAAAGAAAATTAAGAGTTCAGGGTAAAGCCACCTCTCCATGCCTTTTCCTGGTGGACTGTGCCTTGACTTCTCTGATCCAGATGTTGAGGAATCCACAGCTGCCCTTGACTTTCTATCTCAGTGCTTTCTTCAGTCAGGAAAAACTTCCCAGTGTCTGACCTGTGTTCCCTTGGTGCAATTCAAGACTATCACACCTTGTGCTACCCTTGGCAAGTCTAGAAGACAGTTTATTCCTCTCTATTGTTGCCCTCTTGAGGGGTTTGAAGACCGTGGTGGTGCCTCCCTGATGTCTTTGCTCTTCAGCCCAGATGAGGAGCCCCCACCCTGGAAGAGCCACCATCCCTGGGGGTGTTCAAGAGCCACGTGGATGTGGCACCTGGGGACATGGCTTAGTGGTCACCGTGGTGGTGGTGGTGGTGCTGGGTTGGTTGTTGGACTTGATGAGCTTAGAGGGCTTTTTCAAAAATAATTAACCACTGTGAGCTGATATTTATTTCCCTCGTGAGCCTCTCATTGGTTATTCCTGTCTTACCACTGTTCACCTTCCATTCCTGAATTGTCTTTTTCCTTTTTCTTTTTCCAGACCATTTCTACAATTTATCAAGACCATTTTGAATCCTAATCCTGGCCTCTGAAGTACTTGCAGCCTGTCCCAGCCTGGTGTCAGCAGCAATTTCAGTAAGCATGTTATGTTCCATCCTTCAAATCAGTTTTAAATGTGTTGAACTGTGCAGCAGCTTGGGTGTCTTGGTCACCCCCTCAACAGGCCTTTCCCTTTGGGAATTGGAGTTGGACTTGATGATCCTTTTGGGTGCCTTCCAGCTCAGGACATTCTGTGATGCTGAGTCTGTGTTCACACTCTGGCACATCCTAAAATGCTGCATTTGCTTTGCAAAAGGTACAAAAGGCAAAGCAGTTCCTTGGGCTGATGAGATTTGTATCCCAAAGCAAGAGATTTCATCAGCCCCTTGGAACAGCTGTAATGAGAAATAAGTTTATTTGTCACATCAGTGCCTGAACAAGATGGGTTTTATGCAGGGTTGGAAAGAACAGAAGCTGTGCTTTGGTGTTGCTTGGATAGTAGGGAGAAATCCTTCCCTGGGAGGGTGGGCAGGCCCTGGCACAGGTTGCCCAGAGAAGCTGTGGCTGCCCCTGGATCCCTGGAAGTGTCCAAGGCCAGGTTGGAGCACCCTGGGCCGGTGGAAGGTGTCCCTGCCTGTGGCAGGGGGTGGGAAAGTCAACTATTCCCTCCCTGAAAAACCCACCTGCCATTCTCACCTGCTGGCAAATCCTTGTTCCCTAAAGAGTGTTTGTGGCTGAGATCTGGAGGGAAGAAATGCAAACACAGTTTGTGCCATGACTTACAAACCCAGGGGGCAGCTGTGGGGGGTGGTGGGATGTGCTGGACCTGCTGGGTGGCAGCAGATCCGTGGCCAAGCAGATGGTCCTTGCCCTTCCCTTGGATTTCTGCCCTGTGGCTCAAACACTGTGTGTCTGTATGGTTGGACCAGCACACAGGTTCATTTTGGTGGAGATGGAAAGGGGGTGATATTCCAGGATTTATGATTTTCCAGGGAGTCTGATGAATAAACCTTCACAGCCCGAGCCTGTATTTATAAGGCAAAGGGGCAGAGACCACAAATGCATGGACAGCCACTGTTTGTGTCCCTGGGACTGCTGGGGTTTAACAAGTAAGAAATGAAAACCAAACCTGTGCCTGGACCCCCCAAAGGGAATCAGGTGCAAAGCAGTTCTCAGCCTCAGCTCAGACAATTAGTCTCTTGTTTGTCTCTCAGGAGGAGCACAAAGCTGGGCTTTGTGGGTGGCTGCACCTCCATGTGTCTGTCAGAACAGCTCCTGGTTCAAGCCTCATCCTCTCTGTGGCATCCACTGGCTCTGGAAATTTCAGCTTAATCAGGGAAAGTAATTTCTCCTTGTCTTTCACTTCGGAGGAGCGAGAGGGAATTGGGATTTCCAGCTCTGTTCTCACGTTGCAAAGGGGGAAACTGAGGCACGGGAGGTCGATGTTGTGTGAGGCTCCTGCAGTGACCCCAGGTGGGAAATGCTGATTCCCTCTGTGCCTTTCCCAAACTTACAAGAATTTTAGAAACAAAGTTCTGTGAGCAAAGACTTGCCTTTTGATATTTTCAAGGGCTTTACCCACATCAAACTGATTTACTTGGAGGGGAAAAGCCTTAAATATCCCTGCAGAGGGCTCATAATGTGAATGATTCTGTATTTTTTCACTGCATTACTCTGAGTGCATGAAATCTCTCCCAGCCATAATGGAATTCCATTTGGATGAGCTCTCTAACCATGGTGGTGTTAAAAGGAGGTGCACAAAGGGAATTCTCTTTGGAGAGAGGGGAAGAAAAGCATGTGGTGCCAGTAAATGATTCTTAGCGCTGCAATAATCCTAATCAGATTAATTAGGATTAATTAAAATTTCTGGCTTTTATTTATCTGAAATAAAAACACATCTAAGGAGTTTAGGGCTTTTATGAGTTTTAGTAATATTGTTGAGTTCTTTCACCTGGTGCAATGTGTAAATCATGTGTAAGTGTGTAAAGCTGGTTGGGCTTTTAGGGAGAATTATGCTGCCCCCAGCATTTAGAGCCAGCCATTAGTTCTCCATCTCCTCTTCCATCTTTTGTTGTTGGTAAATCCATCTCCTGCCCCCTTTCCCATATTGTCCATCTGCAGGTGACCCAGCTCCCTTGGTGCTGATGTCTTCAAACATGTTTCTGCTCAAAGCTTCTTTTTTTTATTTGAGAATTGTGCCAAATCTCCCCTCTGGTTTTGCCCCCGATCTTCTGGCATGACCAAAGCATCCTTGTCCCATCCCACACGTGGCTTCCTCCCTCTGGAACAATCCTCCTGTAATTTTCCACTTGGGTGTCTCACCAAAAAGCTGCATTTTTTTTAAATTTTTTTTTTCCCTCACTTGCATATGCCACTGACTTTTCCCAGCACTTTTTTTTTTTTTTTTTTTACTGCATCTTTCCCTCACTGTTTTCCATCTCAGAAAAGCTGTTCACATTTTCACCAAACAAATCTGCCCAGCATTGCATCTGTGCGTGCCCAGATGGAGCAAGATCTGTCAAACGGGGTGGGGGGGGAATTTTCCAGCAGCCTCGTCCCTCCCCTCTCCCCTTGCACATTTACTCCTTGGAAAGCTTCAGTCAGAGACGAGGAAGATGGCTTGGAGTTTTACAAGTGTGAGGGAGCGGGAGGTTTTCCCTGTGGGATGGGCTGTGGGGATGTTTTGGCCCCGGCACTGGGAAGTGGGAAGGGTTGATGAGGAGCCACGAGCTGCAGCCACGTGCCCTGAGAGAGGCCTCTGCAAGCCTGCTCCTCAGCACTTCCAAACCTTCCTGTTGTCACAGAATCAGAGAATCATAAAGGTTGGAAAAACCCTCCAGGATCATCAAGTTCAACCTTTAACCCCCCCCCCCCCCCGAATCCGTATCATAAAGTGTCACATCCACAAGTTTTCCGAACACTCCCAGGGGTGGGGACTCCACCCCTGCCCTGGGCAGCTGTGCCACTCCCTGACCACCCTTTCCAGCAAGAAATTCCTGCTGATGTCCCACCTGCCCCTCCCCTGGCACAGCTGGAGGCCGTTCCCTCTCCTCCTGTCCCTGTTCCCTGGGAGCAGAGCCCGACCCCCCCCGGCTCCCCCCTCCTGTCAGGGATTGCAGAGCCAGAAGGTCCCCCCTGAGCCTCCTTTTCTCCAGGCTGAGCCCCCCCAGCTCCCTCAGCTGCTCCTG